AGTGCTTCCATTGTGATAAATGGAAGAAAAGCCTTTGTGAGTATGTTGGATAGCTTGATAGCTGAGAGTGGGTAGCCTTGCTGATGTGGAATCGCAGAATTGTGGAGTTGGAAGAGACCCTGAGGGTTTCTCGGTGCTATGCCCTGTAGCCTACATCAATTCCTACTGGCACAGAAGTGTGAGGTGGACAAAGTGCAGCAAAAATTTTTAGAAGAAGAAAATAGCAGAATTTGTATACATTTTAAACTGAGAAATAATTTCATTCTTATTTGTTATCAAAAGTAAACTTTGTTTCTTCATTTCCCATATAAATATATAGACATTTCAAGTGCAATGGGGCTGGTAAAGACAGACGCTCTCACAACCTTTCATGCAAACAACGGTCCATTACAGAAGGAAACAATTTTTCGAAAGAATACATCACATCTGAATTCTGGCTATGCTGTGACAATCGAGTTCAGAGCTTTCCAAACTGTGTGTTGGCTGCAGTGCGTAGGTAGGTAGTGTTGTGTTATCGTCCCAACTCTATTTCGCTAGTAAAACCTGAATTACTTTGATGCGAAATGACGCATGTTTAAAAAGTGTGCCACCAACACGAAAGGTTTGGAAAGCTCTGATCTAGTTATTTCGATCACCATTTTGGGCAACAAGGCAAACGCTTCTTGTTGATGGCTTGCCTGAGTTACACGAGATACGTGAAGAAATACAAACTTGGTGAAGATTATAAGCACACATTTCATCTGGAAAAATTGTTTCAGGTTTGTGAATGCCTGTGCCCATGCAAGGTGGTACTATACTGAAAGCAGCAAACGTAGGCTGGGGAACCCCAGTTCTCCATTGCAAATAGGGTGGCCATGGGCTGTGTTTTACATAGTACAGCCTGCTCTTTGAAAGGCTGTCAGAAGACAGTCCTCTGTTTGAAGGGTTGAAGATAACCATCAGAAGGGGGAACCTTGAAGAGCCCCTCAATAGTTCACACCCGGACAGCCGACTGAACAGTCACCTGATCTCTTATCCCCCCACTATGGTGAAACATATTGCATACCTTTCTTTCAGTTCTCATTTAACTGTACTTTAAAATGGCTTTTCCAGGCAAGCCTATGCAAAGCAGCTTTCTCTTCAACCCAACTTCTAATTTAAATTATAGTGATTATCTCAAAATCCGAATCGATTCCTAACACAATTTAGGCAAATCTGAACCTTATTTTATCCTCTCTTTTGATGGTTCATTTTTCTTTTGGGATGGATGAGTTTGCAGCCCCCTAAGCATAGAACAATGGGGATATATTTCAAGAGGGTGTTTAATTATGGCTCTACCTGCTATGTGAGCTCAGCAATTGGCAGAGCAAGTGCTTTGCGTGCAAATTTTCTCTGGTCCAATCCCTGGCATCTCTAGTTAACCAATGACAGGCAAGACCTCTGCTGGACCCTGTGGAAAGTCACTGTCAGACAGTGAGTGGCAATGTTGAGCTGGTTGGGCAATGTGCTCTAAGTCAGCTCCCTATGTTGTTTCCAGAGGGACCATAGCTCATGCTTCTAATGCAATAGTTCCCAGATTCACTCCCAGGCATCTCTAGGTAGAGCTGGAAAAGAGCCTTGACAGTAAGTAAAGAGAAGACTGAGCTAATGGACCACTTGGTATATGGAAGCTTCCTATCCTCCTGTGTTCCTAAGTTGCTCTGACCTGCTTTTCTCCCAACAAGGGTTTCAATTGGGAAAAGCAGCTGGTAGAAGGAGAAAAGCATTGGTTGGGTAGGAGAAGCAGGAGCTATCCTCTCCAGCCTATTGCTTCTCCACTTCATTGCCCATCCTCATCTCACCACCTTGGAATGGAGAAGCAACATTTAGAACTCCCAGATCCATGTTTTCTTTTTGCTGCCCTCAATGTAGTTCTGCCACAGAGCTCTCTTCCCATTCATCTCCATGGAGGTGTCTGATTCACATGAACATTCTAACGAGCATACAGATGAGCTCCCTCCATTCAAAGGGATGTCTAGCATTCAAGATGAAATTAAGCATTAGCGGCAATTTTTTTTTTAGCGAGCCCCTTTCACTTCAATGGTGCTTTACAGAGCAGAATATCTCAAAGCTCCATTAGATGAATGAGTGCTGCATAGGGACCAGTGCTTATAATCTGAACATATCAACATTAAATACATTTACAAGAGACACTTCCCAGTTCATGCTAGTAAATTTTAATGTGATGTTGCCTTGGCTCGTACTGTCAAGTTCTTGCAGTGATCCAACACATAGTGCTGTTTGAACAGCTTAATTAACACAACAAACTGTTACACTGAACACTCCCCCCCCCATAAATGCCCATAATTTGGCCACTCGGCACACATTCATTTTTGCTGCATACATAGAAAGAAATGTCAAGTAATCTATTACTATATACTTTTTTCTTTTTTTTAAGAAAAAAAGTTGTTCTGATTTAGCACAAGAACAGTTACTGCAAATAGAGAAAGCACAGCAGCAAACAGACTTTGAAAGTCATGATTTAAAAGCAATATTATAGATTCTACATATAGGAAATACTGTTGGTCTTAAGAACGCAAGAAGAGTTCTGCTGAATCAGGCCAAAGGCTTATCTAGTCCAGCATTGCATTTCCAGTGGACAGCAAGACGCCTCTGAGAAGCCCACAACCAGGACCTGAGGGCATGCAAAGTATTAAAACCTCTATGCTATCATTCAAAAGTGTAGTATTTTTCAAAAGCAAAACGGAATGGAGTATTTTGTGCTATGTTGAAACCATTATTCCATATTACAGCATTTGCGTTCTGTCTTTTTTTAAAAAACAAAACGAAATAAAAATCAGGTGCAGTTTGGCTATTGATCAGTGAAGAGGCTTTTGAATTTCCCTGCCCATATCTCAGAATCTGATCAGCTGAATTCTTCTACAACAACTTTTCTCAGCCAAGTGGAAAAATATATAGATAATGGAGGGGGGGGGGAATCTAGCTGTCTGTCCCCCCCTGCCCGCTCCCAAATAGACCTTATTAAGCATACAGGAGGCAGGGAGTATGAGGCACAAATCTCCTCCTCTATCTCCTGCTCCCTGGTTACATGATGTGTGCAAGACCCTCCCAATCAGTTCAGCCCATGTATCCCAGTCAGGTCAGCTATTCCAAAACACCAGATTGGACCTCCCAATAGGTTGGGGGGACAAATGCACATCTGTACGATTCACACAAGAATGTATATATGCAAAAGCCTCAATTCACACTAAGAATGATTGTCTTGTCTCAGCAGGAGGAGAAACATGTGGGCACTGCCTAAACATTTACCTAAAATACTCAGTCTAGGCTATATACCCCCTAGCCTAGTCTTCAGCAGTGCCAAACACATTTCTGAACTGTAATCAAACTCTCTTTCTGTGTAGAACACACACATTTTCTCTCCCACCCCCTTCTCACTGTCTGATTCCCTCCCCATTTTGAAAGCCCCAGATCACTCTAGGTCAGGCTTCCTCAAACTCGGCCCTCCAGATGTTTTTGGCCTACAACTCCCATGATCCCTAGCTAGCAGGACCAGTGGCCAGGGATGATGGGAATTGTAGTCTCAGAATATCTGGAGGGCCGAGTTTGAGGAAGCCTACTCTAGGTGGACCCAGTCTGACCCAGGCCTGCCTCAACCCATTCTGGCTGAATCCTGGGTCAACCTTCACAGATCCCTGCTTTCCATATTGGTAATAATGCCTTGATATTCAGCAAAGCATATCTGAACTCTACTTCTTCAGTGCAAATACAAACGTATGTTCTTGAAAATATCTATGTGTACTTTTCAAAATGCAACTGCTCCCTAAAATAATCTGATGAAAAACTTTTTTTTTCAATTATTCACCTGTCCGCTTGCAATATAGCCGAAAAGAAGTTCACATGTGGGTCACCCAACAAAACGTAAAGAAAGAGAAACCAGAAATTCTATTGGATTTGTTTGCTCCTCTCTATAGTCAGCATGTTCATGATTTCAAAAATGAGAAATTAATGTTAATTTAGTCATAGTTTTCAGCTTGGGAAGAATTTATGTGTCCTGCAAAGATTCTATGCACATGCTATGACCAGATGAGCAGTTAGGACTGAGCCCAAAGACTGATTTTTTTTTTAATACCCATACTTGCATTACTGAAAAAACATCACTGGTAAATGAATAGCAGTTGACTGGCAGCTGACATTTTAGTCCCAAAACTGGGTGAAAAGGATTTAAGCCTTTATGGCTAAAGACAGATAACTAGTCTTCTTAATTGGATCATAATTAGTTTGGGAGATGAGTTACTCCCAGTGGGGTAATATTTATTTTGTCCCATTTTTACCTCTGCTCAAACAGGTTGTGCAGGCTTTTGAAACAATACAAAATTCTTCGAGACTTGTTGGTGATGCATGATGGAATGCGCACACCAAGAGGAACATCACTTCTAAAAAATGATGTCTCCAGCTTGAGTTGGTACCAACAAAGCAGCGTCACTGTTTTAGAGAAGCATGCAAGTCACAGCTGTCACAAAGGAATGCAAACCACTATTAGTAGCACAGGTTGCAATCCTATGCACATTAATTAAGGTGTCTGGAAATGCTGACTCAATCAGCTTAGGCATATGGACCAACTGCATGGTTAGGTGCAGGAATCAGCCTTGGCACTATCCAGTCTCCCTCTCAGTGTGTATAACCTGTAATGAATACTGGGACCTATACACATAGATCCTCTTTGCTAGGTCTGTATATATTACAGGTCAGGGTACATGAGCCCAGTGTTTGATTCCACACTGGAGAAAACCTGGGATACAATCTTGCCTTCGGTCCCATTAATTCAATGAGTTTATGTCATGCCCAGGGTTGTATCCATAAATCCTAATCCAAAGCTTGTGCGGCTCTCATTAGCACTCCGAGCCAGTGGCGTAGCGTGGGGGGTGCAGGGGGGGCCGGCCGCACCGGGTGCAACATCTGGGGGTTAGGGCAAATCCACGGGTTAGGGGGCGCAAATCCCCGGGTTAGGGGGCGCAAATCCACGGGTTAGGGGGCGCAAATTACTTGCCTTGCCCCGGGTGCTGACAACCCACGCTACGCCACTGCTCCGAGCTCAGTGCTATCAGACCCGAATGTGCCGTGGAAACATCTGTGTATCTCCAGTTCACTCATCTAAGCATGAGCATTGGAGTCCTCACACACAGGCCTGAGCTAATGAATCAGACATGTAGGCTGCATTCTTGTCATGTGCCTAAGACCCCTATTTGGCTCATGCCCATGGAACTTTGTGCAGCTGATTCCTATTCCTCTTTACAGAGGCTGGCTTTTAAACACCTAACCTACACGCTGATCCATTTGCATGGCTGAGAAGCAGATGTGAACCATCCACCACATATAAAAAATAACATGAGGTGCAGGCATTCGGTATCCAGGATGGCCCATCTGATAGAGCCAATTCTACCACTATCATTTTTTATTTTATTTTGGTAGAGAGAGATTGCAATTCGGGCCATTCTACAAGAGTGAGGATGGGATAGGTGCCCAGCTGCCCACCCCTTCAACATGCAAACTGACTGTTGGGTGGGCATACATCTGAACTGGAGCTCACTGAGTTCAATGAGACTAACACCCAATTAAGTGTGCATAGGATTGCATCACTACATGGACAACACTGAGGAGAAGGGCACAACTAAATATTTTTCCTTTGGTGTTGGATAAAAATAACAGCAACAGTAGGTTGTATCCCATGAAGTTGCCCCATTTATGCAAGGACTTCCACCTGAATGGAACTCCTTCTTCCTCCCACCTAGATCTGTTCTGGGTGTAGCCCCAGCCCTCCAGAGCAGATTGGGGGGGGCATGGGAATCACACAGGGGTAGGGATTATTGTTGTGCAGGCAGAAATCCTATTGCTAAAGTGATGACTTTGACAGATGCAACCTAATAATAATGGTAATAATTTATATAAAACAATGGCCCTTGAAATCTATTCCAAGTTACAACAAAAGCTATGCCATAGCAGTAGAAACCGACGAAACAATAAAAAGTATATGTTCCTTACAGAACACTAATGCTACATTTGTTCATGAACTTGATAGGGTTTTTGTTTTTGGATAGTAGGCGTAAAACAGTGCAAAGTATATTGAAATTCAATCTTACAGTATTTCATCACCAAAAACATAGCAGAAAGAGCAGAAAGGCCCTCTTGTTACTGAGAGTATGTGAAGAGAAAAATCAGAATAGCTCTGAAAAAAGCTATGTAGATAGTATGCAGATGCTTGTGAAAACAAACAGCATTTGGAAAGTATTTGTGATGATGGCAAGTAAAAAGGACATATTCAAAGAGTACATCACAAGAATACTGCAAGCGTCAATCTACACATACAGATTTCTGTGACCATAAAGTTGATTGTTTGAGGTACGTCTCCAAAAGGTGACGCACAAGTAGCTTACAGTTGTTCAGTACCATAAACATTAACTTGTGACAAGTACCCATTTATAAAAAATGGAACAGGATATTGAAGAAAACCCTAGATAATATCTGGGTTACTGCTACTGGTTGGAAAGTCTATGTGTGGTAGTTTTGAAGCAACTGTTATCCACCTGTTATTCCCCCTCCATGTGATAGAAACAGGAGAGATGGTGACCAAAGGAGATGATACCAAACCACCTTGTTTCCCTCCATCTTTATTTTAGCCTGTCCTTCACATGACCTGTGAATGCTGCCTAAAGCAATCAAAGTTGTGTTACTTCCTGTCCTAAAATTAAAAGTGGGGAAGAGGGATAGAAAGAGGGAGAGAGGGAAGCAGCAACAGCAGAGCAGGAGGGCAGGTTTACTTGCGGCCTACTTTATGAAACAGTTGGGGTAGACAAGGAAGGAGGCTTACTTGGACCTCAATCATTTGCTACCACTGCAGCAGGGATAGGGAACTCCCATCAGCCCTAGCCATCATGGGCTAGGGCCCCATACACCAGGGATCTATGGGAGTCCAACAAGTGCACCACACATTCCTCACTCCTGCTCTACAGAATTGCCCACCACCACCATTAGTTATCAGTCATATCCACCAGTAGAGTATAACTTTAAATGTCCTTTTAAAAAAAGCCAATTTGGTTTATTAAAGTGATAACAGAGATATCCAAGGTGCAACTGTGCATACTATGGGTAGGATCTGGAGTCCTGTTGATCTCAGTCCTATTGATTAGTCATGACTAATGCTCCACATTTGATTTCATGTTGTTGGGACCGAAGTGTGACTAACTTAAGCCCCATTCAGGCATTGTCACTTTTTGTGTTCAAAGAACATTGGGGGTGGGTGGGTGCTTGGGAAGCAAGGCTGCACATGTTGGTCCTGCCCCCAATGTCACCATCACTCCTAACCTCTGTGCATTATGCATGAAGGTCTAAAGGAGATGAAAACATGCTTAAAATCATCCCGGCAGTTTCAGGTTCTGCGTAATCCAGGGTCACAACTGCAGAGAAATATCTAAACATGTATTGCTGAATGTATTTGGAATATCCCTTGCAAATGCACAAAGGCTTAGAGCAGATATTGGGACCAGGGACTCCCCCACCATGTACCCTTCAAGCATGGGCACTTCTAACGCCTAAATAGGGCTTCAGCCTGGATCCAAACCACTGTGTATACAGTTGACTTGCAACTTACCGGTATGCAGGGGTTATGTTCTGGGGACAGCTCGTAAAGCCAAAATCATGGATAGTCAAAACACACTCTCCCAGCACCTCCAAATACTCTCCCAATGTGCATGCAAATGGTGGGTGGGATTGTGATAGTTCCTCGCCCCCGGTTAAATTTTTATTTTTTTCAGCCAAGTTAAATGTGCATAAGTTGCAAGTTGACTGTACCATGATTGGTTTTGAAAATAATGGAATCTTTAAATGAAGCCCATACATAGATTTTATATTGGACATGTGGCAAATAAATGTGATCAGCAAAAGGGCCAAATCAATTTAGGCAATTGATTTGCAGAAAGAAGAATCAACCTGAAGTCCTCACACCAATCAATCACCTTTATATCAGGCTCTGCACTTGTCTACTTCTTTCTATCTCATGGCAAGACCAGCTCTGAAAGAGGGATGCTTCATGCCTGACATTTTTCCTGCATGGAGATAAATCTCTATCACACCTGAAGCGAGGCACAAGAGTTTAGGGTTTCACAAACAGCAGGCTCTGGTGAGTTTCTGCTGCACAAATGTTTTAATTTTGGAGCTTCTTTCAATGGTTCTCCTGAATATAAGGATTCACTGACCTTTCCACACATCTATTGCAATGACTGGTGTGCTTGTGTGGAATGCCGTCAGCAGTCAACATAAGAATGTTTTAAGCCATCATAAACTAACACGGGAGAACAGAGCTCCACAAGTTTCAACTTTTTAATTTCAAATTTAGGAGACAATAGAACTTGGCTTGCTGACTTCCTGCTACATTGAAGCAAAACAGATTTTAGCCCTCCAACTTACAACACTGAATCTGCATCCCAGAACAAGATGCATCCTGGTACCATTTTGAAAGACTTTTTGCCTTCCTGAATGGATGGCCACTTTCTTTTCTTTTCTTTCTCTCCCCGCCCCCTCCCAAATGTGCTACTCTTTGAAGGCTTTACATTTCTGGTTGCCTGAACATCAGTGTGCCCCAACTTCTAATGATCTGAATTCACACTGTAGCTTCATAAATGCTTATGCTAAGCTCTTGTTGCATCCAAACATCTGATTATGAATCCTCCAGGTCAATCACATCAATGAAGTTAAGCGGAAATACAATAAAGTGTCAAAGAGTTGCCCCTTTGATATAGCAGAGCAAAGCTATATCAAAGCCCTAGAGGCTAAAGTGCCAAATTAAAGGCCAAACTTGGTGTGATGGTTAATGCATCTTTGTATGTGTGTGTGTGTTAAAGCAAGCAGGGATTGTTGGACTGATAATTATTGGGAATTTCCTAATGCAAATAGCAGATCCAGAGAAATAAACTTTGATAGGACCACAGTAGGGAAGAGAGATAGAACTCCTCTTCCCCAGTTGCTACAATCCCAATACTTATCAGATCCATCCTCTGGGGCTGCATTTTTTAAAAAGCCCCCCCCCCCAAGCCTACACACTTTAAATGCAAAGGTGCATTTAATAACACAGCACACATTGGGCCCAAACACAAGTTACTTTACACATTTCTGTTTCACATTTACACATAAGACATCTTGACGTACACCAGCATTTCTTAAACTTTGGGGAAAGGGTGTGAGAAATCACAGGAGCAGATGGGGTTTGCCAGATGGCCATCCGTGGCTAAGCAGCTCCTGTTTTCCTTGGCTGAATGGCTAACTGGGGGGCAGACCAACCTTTCCAGCTGGGTTGCATAAGGGAGAGAAGGCGAAAAGCTCTTGTCGACACTAAATCTTCCCTTGCAGCTCTGCACCTCAGTTGCACGGCTGGCATTCTTCTGGCTCTCAGGCCCAGATTCAACCCAGCAAACAGGGACAACCCAATGGAGAACAGGGGCTGCAGCCAATGTTCTCTGTGTATTAGGGCAAGGGCTCATGCACTAGCAGGTGGGCGAGTTTTCACATTGCACAACAGAGGAATCTGTTGAGCTCAAGGAAACTCATTGCACAACAGATTGCACAATCTATTTTACAGAGAAGTTACCAGCAACCTGTTTATGTAGTTTTTTGGTGCAACTGCATTTCTTTCCTGCCAAACATTTCACCAGTGGAACAAATATACCGCAAAGTGACTTTAGCACTATATCGGATACAACCCCCATTCAGTGTTGGTATGCACCCCAGCTTCCTGAGCACAATTGGAAGGAGACTGCAGGGGGGGGGGGGATTGCTGATTCTTGGAAGTGCTGATGCTCATGTGAACTTCCTCGAGGAGGCTCTTTGAATCCCACTCTGTATTGGGACCACAGAATGTACAGTACATTCAGAAAGGGGGCGGATTTTAAGAAATACTAGTGTACATGTAAAAATACTGTATGACTGTTTGGCACACTCATTAGGGAGCTGTGATAGACTGCAGTTCCCAATACAAGATTCACCCAGTGGCAAACCTGTTTTTGCCTCTATGTAATATATAAAATTGTCACCACTTAGAGGCGAGTTCACAAGAAAGGAAAGTACAACAGAAAGCTTTATGTTGACACAATTTGTGCTATCATGAGCATTATGTTGCTTTCAAGACCTTAAACCCACCTATACTTATGTCCTTCTGAATGCCTTGTTCAAACAAAGAAAGAAATGACGTCTTTTCATGACATCTTTAACAAGTATTCAAGTGAAAGGTAAGTTAAGAATGAGAATTAATGGTATTATTATGCAGTAGAAATACAATGGATCAAAACGCAAAAATCTGATTGGAGGTCATCAGCTAGACCCAAACCTTTTGTAGCGTATAGAGATGGTGAGCTTGTTGTGAAGCTGGTCATCAAGAACCCACTGTTCAAGCTAGGGTGTAAGTGGTGGTTTTGGTGATGAGCAAGATCCTTGACTGTCAAAACTGGTTGCTCGGCCTGGCAACTAGAAGAAATAAAATATTTTAAGAAGAGTCCTGTTGCATCCACAGGTCCATCAAGTCCAGCATCCTGTTTTTTACAATGGCCAACCAGTTTCCTCACAGAAGTCCACAAGAGCCCTCCCCCCACTTTTCTCCCCAGCTACTAGCATTCAAAGGACTCCACCTTGCCATTGTGATCAACAGCCATTGACAGACCCATCTTACCCCATGAAGAGATCTAATTCCCCTCTAAAGTCATCTAAGATAGAGGCCACCACCACATCTTGTGGCACCAAATTTAATCAAGATTGAATTATTGCCAGTTGTTCAACATGAGAGACCACTGGAGAGTTTTCTAGAAGCTTCTGTTGGCCCAAAAAGAAGATATATTTACTGAATTTGAATATTAAATGGTGCATTATTGTGGGGTCAGAGAAGACTGGTGGTAGAGCTGACATCTAAAACTGGAGATCTGGAGGATGCCCTGGGCACCTTTACAAAAGTACCATCTTCTATATTCATGAGCCCCAGGTGTGCATAGCAATTTTGCAGTTATGTGTTATTAGTTTACCTCATCATCTATATAGATTAGCCAAGTGGCTATTTTTGTGTGTGTGGCAAATTGCGTGTTAAAAATGTCTCGACCAATGAGGAAGACTCACTGGATTGCAATGTGTCTGGTCTTAAACATTATCAATTTATTGCTTGTCACATCAGTTTGATGTTCAGGCATTATCCTGGATAGATGTGGTTGTATCTTGGCCATTTAATTTATAGTCTCTTTACACGTTTACATTGTCTTTTGGGATTAAAGTTGGATTTCACTCTTGCACATATTTTAGAAGCATCCAGTAATATTTTTTGTCCTCATTTTAGTCCATGCTACAGTGGGGTTAATGCCATATGCCTCTCCTAACAGAGGAAATGGCATTTAATTTGGGGGAAATGGTTTTTGCATTGATAAAGTGTTTTCAAAAACTTTCCTGTAATTCTGATCCTATTCAGCATTATTATTTTTTTAGAAAAGAAAGGAAAAGAAACAGCAGAGAATTCAATCCCAGATTTTCTGGTTTTGTTTTTGTTTGAAATACACCAGTATGAATGTTGTTAACAGGTAGCATAGAATGTAAAAGAAAGCCATTGAAAAATTGAACTTGCATTCTCTTCTACAGGCTTTTTCAAATAATTTAATGAAATGCCTAATACAAAACAGGGCTTCTCAGCTTTGTTTGGTGGAAAAGATTTTTAGCATCTTCTTTCGTACGTTGTTCTGCACTTAACCTCCTTTTTTTGGTCTCCCTTCACATTTCTATTTGACAAAAATGCTGCCTCATGAAATAGAAAGACCTATTTGTGAAGAAAAAAGCAGAGACATCACCTTGCCAACAAAGGTCCATATAGTTAAAGCTATGGTTTTCCCAGTAGTGATGTGTGGAAGTGAGAGCTGGACCATAAAGAAGGCTTATCACCAAAGAATTGTTGCTTTTGAATTATGGTGCTGGAGGAGACTCTTGAGAGTCCCATGGACTGCAAGAAGATCAAACCTCTCCATTCTTAAGGAAATCAGCCCTGAGTGCTCACTGGAAGGACAGATCGTGAAGCTGAGGCTCCAATACTTTGGCCACCTCATGAGAAGATTCCCTGGAAATGACCCTGATGTTGGGAAAGATGGAGGACACAAGGAGAAGGGGACGACATAGGACGAGATGGTTGGACAGTGTTCTCGTAGCTACCAGCATGAGTTTGACCAAACTGCGGGAGGCAGTAGAAGACAGGAGTGCCTGGCGTGCTCTGGTCCATGGGGTCACAAAGAGTTGGACATGACTAAATGACTAAACAACAACAAATTTGTGAAGAAGGTATTACATAAAATAGTGATAATGAGGAATAGGCTGCTGAAGAGATGCTTTAGTCCTCTTACCTCTACCAAGGGATGCCAGTGGGTTATTGGCTTGCGGGGGTACGCCAGCATTTCATTCCAGTGGTCTCTTCCAAGGCCTTCAGCGTCAAGTCCAGCCCTACATACTCCAATCACCTCATTGTGTCCCACTCTAGGATTAAAGGTGGAGAACAGAACGTCTAAAGATTATCCACAATGCCACGCGTCCACAAATAATGCAAATGATAGGTAGAGGAGCCACATTCTGCGACAGGAAAAGCTAGATATTTACACCCCAAAGCACTAGGAACATTATATATATATATATATATATATAAGTACAAGGTCAGTACACACTTACCTTGCAGTATGCCCCATTGAATTCTATGGGGCACCCTTCTGAGTATATGTGTATATCCCACTCTGTGTTGATGGTGGTGAAAAGCAGACACAGTACTAAATTTTAATCAACTAACCAACCAATCAATCAATCAATCAATCATTCCAATTGCGCTGTAATGATGCAACCACTGCCACCTGTTCTGCTTCGGCAAGGTGTCAGCATGAACATATCTCTGTCTATCTATTGTTTTGCAGGTATCTTGACAACAGTGGATTTTCTGTGCTATACTGCCCGGCACACTTTCAAATGTGCCCCTTTAACATTTATTATTTTTGGTGAAAAGCACCATTAGCCCCGAGAGCTAGATCTAGTGTACATTTAGTAAGGAAAGGTAAAAAAGTTAATAATTAATATTAATATTTAATATTCAGGATTCTGAAGCAAGCCTGCACAGCAGCAGTTTGGTGGGAAGCAGGGCTGGCTTCCTATTCAGCCAGTGTGGTATAATAATAATAATAATAATAATAATAATAATAATAATAATAATAATATAATTATCTATACCCCGCCCATCTGGCCGAGCCTCCCCAGCCACTCTGGGTGGCTCCCAACAGAATATTAAAAACACGATAAAACATCAAATATTAAAAACTCCCCTAAGAGGCTGCCTTCAGATGTCTTCTAAAAGCCAGATAGTTGTTCATTTCTCAGTTTGTATTGTGAAAGCGTCTACCTACTTGCCATTACAGTGGTACCTCGGGTTAAGTACTTAATTCGTTCCAGAGGTCTGTTCTTAACCTGAAACTGTTCTTAACCTGAGGTACCACTTTAGCTAATGGGGCCTCTTGCTGCCGCCACGTCGCTGGAGCCCAATTTCTGTTCTTATCCTGAATCAAAGTTCTTATCCTGAAGCACTATTTCTCGGTTAGCAGAGTGTGTAACCTGAAGCGTATGTAACCTGAAGCGTATGTAACCCGAGGTACCACTGTATTTCTTTACTTATCATATGTATAAGGCTGCCATTCACTCTCTGTGGGGCTATCCTTGAGGTTGGTCCAAAGACTGGCATACCCTCCAACATTTCTCCAATGAAAATAGGGACGTCCTATTCCATAATGATAATTTTACTATTTATACCCCACACATCTTACTGGGTTGCCCCTAGCCACTCTGGGCAGCTTCTTACATATATAGAAACATAACAGAACATTAAGCATTTTTTTAAAAAAATCCCTATACAGGATTGCCTTCAGATGGCTCGGGGTCGGATAACTCCATACCCTCCAACATTTCTCCAATGAAAATAGAGACATCCTAAGGAAAAGTGGGACATTCCGGGATCAAATCAGAAACCAAGACAGCTTCTCTAAATCAGGGACGTCCCTGGAAAATAGGGACACTTGGAGGGTCTGGATTGGTGCAGAATATGGTAACTAGGTTGCTTGTGGGGGTAAACTACTGCTAGCATATAACACCTTGCTTGTTGGGCTTGTCTAGGCTACCAATCTGCTATTGGGCAAAATACAAGGTTTTGGCACATGCAAAGCTGTCTACAGCTCAGGAGCAGTTTACTTGACAGACTGCCTTATACCCTGTATACCCATCAAGTCCCAAGTATATAGATAACACCTGTCATTATTATTCTTACAACAACAACAACAACAACAACAACAACAACAACAACAACAACAACAGATGACTATAGCACCTGCTCTTCTTGAATCCCCCTCCCCGCAAAAAAATCAAAAAAGAGAAAAATGTAGCATACCGGTCATAGTCCATAACAGCGATGGAGAGGCTGACTTGGTCCACATTCTCTGGAGGGATGTCAAAAACGATGGCCTCACTGTATACTGGATTGAGAGTGTTTTTCTTTGTAGTTGTTTTTCTCTTTTTCAGGCGCCGACCATCGCACATCAGGGACACTTTGACGTATGGATCTGAGATAACAGGAACCGAGGTCAACACAACTGGGTAGGAGGACACCAACAGTTCTCACGTAGAAGGGAAGGAAGGTTTGGTTCCACCACGAATGCAGAGGAAACTGCCTTGTATGAAGTCAAGACATGGGTCTATCTAGTTCTGTCAACACCAACTGGCAGTGGTTCTCCAGGGTTTCAAGCAGGGATCCTTCCCAATCTGAGCAGGAGACACCAGGAATTAAGTCTGGTACCTTCTGCACGCAAAGCCTGTCTCCTATTGCCAATGTACAGTAGCTGATATGCTCAACAATGGCTGCTAGCCATGTTCTCCTTTCAGTGGCTGCTAGCCATGATAGCTATGTTCTCCCTTCCTTGTCCGATACATTATGCCTCTGGATACCAGTTGCTGGGAATCACAGGTGGGCAGAGTGCTCTTGTGCTCATGTCCGGTTTGCAGGCTTCCCACAAGTATCTGGTTGGCCACTGTGAGAATAGGATCATTGGCTGATCCAGCAGGCTTGCCTTATGTCCTTGCATCCAGAAATGGCACCTATTTATTCAGGGTGATGAAAAGCCCAACATGCCAAACCAGGTTCAATGTCATTTGGGGAGCAGATTGTCACTCTTTTTGGCTGGGATTCAGTCACATCCCTGCAAGTTCCAGTGTCTTAATTAAAAGTGGATTTGGTGCTTTTGTGAGACCACCTCCTTGAAAATTCAGACTTTTTTTTTTTGCAATAAAGAGTGATGGGAAAATGCACTGGAATGGTTATGATAATGACTGTGTGGTGCAACTTCATATAAGCTCCCCCAAACAAACTGAATTCTTGAAAGACCTACACTGGCTCCCAGTACGTTTCTGAGCACAATTCAAAGTGTTGGTGCTGACCTTGAAAGCCCTAAGCGGCCTCGGTCCAGTATACCTGAAGGAGCGTCTCCACCCCATCGTTCAGCCCGGACACTGAGGTCCAGTGCCGAGGGCCTTCTGGCGGTTCCCTCACTGCAAGAAGTGAGGTTACAGAGAACCAAGCAGAGGGCCTTCTCGGAAGTGGCACCCGGCCTGTGGAACACCCTCCCACCAGATGTCAAAGAGAAAAACAACTACCAGACTTTTAGAAGACATCTGAAGGCAGCCCTGTTCAGGGAAGCTTTTAATGTTTAACAGACTATTGTATTTTAATATTTTGTTGGAAGCCACCCAGAGTGGCTGGGGAAACCCAGCCAGATGGGCAGGGTGTAAATAATAAATTATTATTATAGTATTATTATTATTCTTGGTACTGTCATAGACTGCCTAGATGCAGAGGAGCGGTGGGAGGCACTAGCAGCGCAACCCCCAGGAGAAGAAGGCTTAGATGCAGCAGCAGGCAGCTACCATGGCAACAGCAGCAGGGGGGCCAGGGCTGGTGGGCAACAGCAGATTGCCTGAGGGCAGCCCCAAGCTCTGCCAGCCTGAGTTCCTGCCAGTGTGGCCCCACCCCTGTGCCTCACCACTGCCACCTGTGCGCCAACCAGCCTGGCTGAGAGGGAGGAAGGGGGAAGGCGCTGCCACTGCCACCCTCTGAGAAGGGAGGAAGAAGAAGGTGAGAAAGTGCCTCCTGAGCTCTGTTCACCCTTTGTGGGCTCTGTAGGCTCCCCACCTCTGCCCAGTCCACCAGGGGGATTCAACACTTGCCCCACCCTGGGTGACGGCAACCCACGCTATGCCACTGCAGAGTAAGGTGTGGCATGAGGTCTCAGAATCCCAGACAAAACTTGTACTTATCTTTCACCAAGACAAGCGGAAGAAAACACGGAACAAATGGAAGTGTGGATAGCAAACTAATTCAGCAAAAACAGAACATACTTCTAAGTATGTATGTATAGAATTGCATCCTAAAGCAGCTGCAAAATGCACAGAAGCCGTCACAAGTTAAGAACATTGCTAATGGCGTTTGTAGTGCACTAAGTGACACTTATCAGGAATATGTCAAGGTCTTGGAATGAGGAAATAAAGCACATGATAGTATTCCTTTGTTTGTTATCTGGAAGCTAAAATGACACAGAGTCTCAGACATTGTTTAAACCCAAAGCAAACAGAGGGAAGGTTTCATCTGGGCAGACGAAGGGTGTCCCCGAGTACTTTTCCAGCTCAGAGTAATCTTCCTCAATCAATCAATCAATCAATCAAGCAAGCAAGCAAGCAAGTACGGGAAGATACAGAATTCCCCTCTCTCCCTTGAATCTTTTCCCCTGCTCAAGAAAAAGCAGCTTGGGGGAGGCAATTTTGAGCTGTGGGTGTTGGGAACTGACAGGAAAGGAGAGGGCTAAGCAGTTGCTTTCACTCAGACTGTCTATTGTGTTGCTTTTTGTTTTCAAAAGTGATGGAAAGAAACATAAGAGATCCACGTATTGTTTAATTCTCCTCGTCTGTGAACTCAAGATCAAATGCCCTGAAATCCTGATGGTAAGAGCCCTTCCCCAGAGAGTCATCACTACCCACAGGTGAAGCTAAGCGAAAAGGAACATTGCACTTACCTGATGAGCCAGTGATGTCCATAGCTTTAAGATTTCTGCATTTGATGACTGTGAGGGTCATCCTCCCTGCTGTTGGCAAATAACAAAGGGAAAACATGATCTCCCCCAAATCTATGCTTTCCTGAAAAAAACAAGCACAAACAAAAACATAGGTTATAACAGGGATAGGCAACCTTTTCCAGCTTGAGGGACACATTCCTTCATGGGCAACCTTCTGCATGGGGGGACCTCCATGCCAGTGGTGGGTGGAGCAAGGGGCAACAGATGTGGTGAACATCAAGGCTGAGGCTACTCAGCATGCCCTGATTCTTGATCTTGTGTTGAACAGCTAGGAGTTCATGGACTCCACTGATGGCAAGAAGCCTGAATGCCTCCAAAATCTTGGAGTTGCCATTGAAAGGAGGAAACTGCTCCTGATGAAACAAGAAACTTGGGTAGGCACTGGAGAACAGGGGCAGGTCAACTATTTTGGGTGATTTGTAGTAGATTAGCCAGGGGGATGCCAGGGCTTTCTGCTTCCTCCAGTTGTTTAACAATAGTAACTGCAAAAAGAACCTGCGGGTGGGGGTGCTAAAGTAGACTGCTGAAAGAAAGGTTTTCATGGGGGCAACCAGAAATGAATATTTGGGTGAAATGACTCTGAGCTCAGTTTTGGCAAATAATATAAAATTTCTGTGCTGGCCACATGAACAGATGTACCCTGCTCCTTAATTCTAAGAGTACGTCTCATCTCATCCCCTGCACCACTACTTTGCACCTGGTTTGGGCTGGATGTTGATGATTTAGTAAAACCCCAAGGTATAGCCCACAAGTTTGAAGGCTGCCAACCTTAGATCAGTGCTGGGGGCCTGCTTTGCCTGTAGAAGGCCAGGTTTGGTTCCTGGCATCTCCAATTAAGTGGATCATATAGAAGTGGTGCAAAATAATAAAAGGTCTCCACCCGAGACCCTGGAGACCAGGTGCCATCCAGAGTAGGCTGAGCTAGCTGGATAACCACTCTGACCTTTGTTACTAAAGCTACAGAGAAAGCTTTGCTTGCTGCACACAGCAACTCTTTTCCAGCTGAAAGGTTGGAGCTCTCAATCCGTGCTTCTTCTTTTTCCGCGAAGCGGCAAGGTTATTATTTAAAATTCTAAAAAGCAGTTCATTACCAGCAAATCAGGATACAGCCACAGTAAGCCACACACTATAATTGGCCTTGTGTGTCTCGGAGAGCTGAAGGCACTTGTACTAATGTCAGAAGGCAAGAACAGCAATAATGTTCAGCTGCATGCGTATTAGCAGGTCTCTAACGATAGTGTTCTATTTTAGAGGACAAAAGTCTTGCTCAAAATGAAGCACTGGATGATCCTTGAAGCTCTGTATAGGGTATGATGGCCTCACTCTTTTTTTCATGCTGGTGGGCCATTTTGATATTTTTAAAGAACCATCAGATGTAATTTTAAAGCCTTGCAATCTGAAGTGTTTAATGTGATGCAGTATTTACTTAAGTGGCAGGCGTATCAAAGGATATGGAGAAAGTTGCAGTGTGGCATTGATTAAAGTTGCAAGCCTAGCCTCTAAATGAGTAAGCTCCACTGAATTAAATGAGACTTACTTCTGAGTAGACCCTTAAATTCACAGCACTAGGTTGGGCTGACACCTATTTGTATGTTCTAGAACAAGCATATCAATGTGGCACCCCTATATATTTGAGGAGTGTTATCTATAACAAAACTCTCCCCTTCTTTTTGCGTAGTGTTTTCTCCATATTCAGTTCAGTGAAACACTGATGTAGTATCTCAGAGATGCTTAGAGCAGTGGCTGGGAACCTGTGGCTCTCCAGATGTTGCTGGACTTTATTTTAAGAATAACTGAAGAGCAGCTCTTGGTGGCTACTGGTTGGCACTTGTCATTCTCCACCTCCTTGAATGCCCCAGAAACAGCGTTGTTTCAGGGCATATGTGTGTGGTGGTGTCATTTTAAAAAGTGGTGGTGGTGAGGGACACCATTTTCTCCCCCCAAAATGACACACTGCCTTCAGCATTTGAGAGTGAAGGGGAGAGGGAGGTGGCCATCAGTCAGTGATTGCCAAGAAGGATGTCAGCTAAATCCCATGAGAACTTGGGACCAAAAAAATTCGAGCATCCTGGTTTTGATCAGCAGGATGTTGGAGGGTATGTCATTATATTATTAATAGAACTCAGAGCAGCAAACATACAAAGGCTAAAAGAATTAAAACATCTAAAAACATATTTTAAACAATTCCAGACTGGGACAGATCTTTGTTTAAAAGGCTTGTTGAAATTTCATACATTGAAATGAATGGACATGACTAACTTAGGTCTATTAATTTCAGTGAGTCTGCTGTGAGTCAAACCAAGTTGTACACAACCCTATTTTTTTGTACATCTGTTTAATTGTCCAAGGTTCATTCTATGGCTTTTCCTGATATTTTGTTGTTACCTGTGGCCCTTGAAGATCAGTGCTTTCTTTTTAGATATCGAAGAGTAAATTGACTGATTAAAAATCATGATTTCAGGGGCACACATTTCTAATGTGATCAGAAAGAGATTATTTCCATCCTGCACACATCCTGCTCCCAATGTGTGAAGAGCATCACACTCCTTGACTGCCTCAAGGACATTTTCTTTCATGACAGACTCCATGTCTGTCCATTCTCATTGATATTCTCATGGACATTGTCCATTCTCCTTCACAACATGCAGCTGAGAAGCCAAAGGATGACGGGACATTTTTTAATGGTGGTGACTGGTTCAAAGGTAATGAAACAAAAATTAGGAATAGATGAACCATTTTTTATAGTGGGAAAGAGGTGAACAATGGATCTCATAAAGATCTGTACTGGGATCTACAAAAGATGCAGACAAATGATCAAGGAGATGGACAATTATTCCATGAGGAAAGCTTACAGTAGTTGGAGTTTTTTTTACAGCTTAGTTGGGGAAAAGGTGAATAAAGGGAACCATTTTAGGGTTGTATGAAATTATGTATATTGTGGAGAAATTTGGTAGGCCTAACTTCTCCCCCTGTCATAAAACTAGAACCCGGGGTCATCCAACGAGTCTGAAAGTCGGGAAATTCAGGACAGACAAAACAAAGTACTTTTTCACACAATACTTCTTCATGGTGTGGAGAAAGTGGATAGGTATAACTAACCCCTCTCTTATAAAATAGACAAAAATACTTATTCGCACAGTGTTTAATTAAAGCAGTGGAATTTGTAGTGATGGCCACCAACTTGGGCAGCTGTTATGATAATTGTGTACTACTACCTTGAGGATCAGAAAAAGTATGCCGTTTAATACCAGCTGCCGAGAGGACAGGAGCCTGTGAGCTTCTCAAAGGTATATGGTTGGCCGTTGTGAAAACTGAATGCTATCTGAACTAGCAGGACACTTACCGGTATGTTCTTATCTGAGATAGGACAGGACTGAACACTCTCCTCCCAACTGTAAAGTGCAGGATATTTACCATCTTTCTATCTGGCAGTTATTGATGTGGGGAAAGTATGCATCTGAATCTTAGTATATTGGTGAAATGATCTTTGTCCTACAAAGTACAGTGCTGTCGAATAATAATTCATGATCTTTTTATATCACGTATCACATTTTGAGATATGCTACTTACTGCAGTGGCACAATGGATGTCTTTCCATACTGTGGCCTCTCTAGAGAGATCGGAGACCTCAAAAAAGTTATCCAGAATGACTTCTCCAATCATATCATGTCTAGAAAATCTGTCAAAATCATATACACTGAAATGTAGTTTCCTGTTGCAAAGTTGATCATAGGCTACAGGAAACTGAAAGGTTTCATTGAAGACAGGGTTTAACGTCTTTCTGTGAACCCGTGTCTGAAACTTTTTTTTCCTGTCTGGAAGAAGGTAGATTTTCACATAGGGATCTGATGTACCAGTGAAGTCTTTAGCTGGTAGTTCCAAGGCTTTGACAATGGTAACCAAAAGCATCTCATTTTCATAATCATACTTAAGGGTAAAGTTGAGTTTCCCACAAGTTTTCACATCCTCTTTCTGGCCTTCTGAATCCACAGACTTCTGTTTATAAAGTTCCGGTTTTATCCTTCCAATGCTGGTAGTTGTCTCCCCTCTTTGTAAAACAGGATCTGTCCCCATGTTAAAATCAATGCTGGACACCTGCATTTGCCTTGGCAGATGTCTCCTGAAGGAATTGTGCCTGCATGCGCAAAGACAAAGAAATTAACACTGATAATCTCAAAGGAAAAGAGAATAACTTTCATATAGCTAAAAATGAGAGGAGTAAATCAACCACTCACATTTAACAAGTTTCCATTATTGTTATAACTCTCTGGAGAGAACAATTACTAACAACACTAGGTAATCCAGGAAGATAATTCAATGATTCAGTTCAAGAAGAATGTTGACAATTTGGAAGACAACAACAAACAACAGCAGCAGCAAATATAGAAGAGAGCTACAAAAATTACAAAGGGTTTAGAAAGCAAATCCTATTTGGTAGACTGAAGGGAATAGCCATGCTTAACCTAGAAAAAAGAATCTTGATGGAAAATGGGTACCCTATTTCTGGTCAGTGTGTATCAGAGCAGCAAAAGGCAAAAACGAGAGTGTCAAGTTGCTCAAGAGAAGCTGAGACCTATTGCAGAGACCACTGAGGAATGCTGATATGTGAGAGCAGGGATCAACAAACTTTTTCAGCAGGGGGCCTGTCCACTGTCTCTCAGAGCTTGTGTGGGGCTGGACTATATTTTGAAAAAAGAAGAATGAATTCCTATGCCCCACAAATAACCCAGAGATGCATTTTTTTAAAAAAGGACACATTCTACTCATGTAAAAACACCAGGCAGGCCCCACAAATAACCCAGAGATGCATTTTAAATAAAAGGACACATTCTACTCATGTAAAAACATGCTTATTCCCAGATTGTCCGTGGGCTGGATTTAGAAGGCGATTGGACCGGATCTGCCCCCGGGGTCTTAGTTTGCCTACCCATGTGTGAGAGAATGTATTGGACATAATCTGTTCCCACCTCACAGGCAATTGTTGGCTGCTACAAATGATAACCATTACAAGTGAATTAACCAAACAAGATCTCCAGGGACAAGGGTGCAACCTGATTTGGGGGGGGGTGGGGACTAAGTCCTGCCCTGCATAATCAATCACATGACAGGGCACACATACACCATTTGAATGGCAATGCCTATTGACTTTTGGGGGGGCAGCCCCCTCAAGTATTTTATTGGAGTGAGTGTGTGAAGAGACCTTGGCCCCTAGGAGCTGGTTCCTATGTCCGGGGATGATGAGAGTAGCAGTTCAGTGACATTTAAGAATTCTGGGTCCAATTCATTCATAAGATGGTTATCCATATTCATGTGAAGCATTTCCAGAAACCTGATTGTGCCACAAACCCCACAAAGCTCCGCTGGTTGCTTGATGTTTAACAACCTAAAAAAGAGATGAAGCCTTTCTTTTTTAATATGCAGAAAAGGATGAGAATGGAAGCAGGAGAAGATCAGTAGAGGGCAGGTTACAAAGGTAAATATTCCATTGCTGTTTAGCTGGATCTGAATTCAATAAGGCAGGGGGGAACAATGTTCAAGTGTTCTGTTGAGTACTTTGCCCTGGAGATTACATTGCTTAATTAAAACATTTTTTTAAAATTAAAAACCCACTTTTCTTTTTTTGCAAGAACCAAAACCCTGTACTTTTTTATTTTTGCAAGGACATATATGTACTGTCATTAAGAGGCAGTTTGTCTGCATGTCCCCTGCATGTTATCCATGCATGGGGAAGGTAGCTGTACCTGTTTAGCACTCTTCAGGTTCTCCACTGAAATAAAGAAGAGACCCAGCTGTGACACTCGCTCTTTCATACCGGGAGTACAAATTGTCCATGAGGAAACTATTGTGTTGTACTTCATGAAAAAGCACTCTTTCCATTTACACCCAGAGTGTCTGCTAAATGGAAAACCCTCAAGTACTGTCGCCATCTTTTGTTGAACAGGAATGTCAGACTGAACTAAGTGGAAGCCGCGCAGATGTAAGCCTGTTTACTCCCACTGTCTCTTCATCACATTTCATCTGAGCACTCTGACTGCATTCAGATGCAACAATCAGCTGTGGTTTATCAATATGTAAAATGCACTCTGGGCTTATGCACCCATTTCATGTATTTATTACATTCGTATCCTATCCCAAGGATATTAAGGCAGTGAATATCCCATTTCTTCTCCCCGACAACAACCCTGTGAAGTAGCTTAGGTTGAGAAGGAGTGCATTTAGCATCCTGGAATCAAATATGTAATAATATTAGTTTAGTTATGTCTGTTTGTATAGTCCGGCTTGTGGAGGTAGCTAGGAGGGCTTTATCCATCTTTGGCTAGCTGCGGCCTTACTTAGAATAGCTGGACCTGACCTTTGCCATCCATGCCCTAGTTACATCCATACTGAACTACTGCAATACAACTTGCTGGAAGGCGCAGGAGGGCAGAATGTTCTTGTGCTCAGGTTCTGATTGAAGATTTCCCACAGGTATCTGGGTGGCCATTGCGAGGACAGGATGCTGGAATAAATAGGCCATTGGCCTGATTCAACAGGCTCTTCTCATGATCTTATGTTCTGTGTGGCTGCAGAAGCTGCAGTTTGTCCAAAATGTCGCTCACAAACTGGGCCATAGAGTGTTGAACCTATGCCAGCTATGTTTGCTGTCTGTTTCAAGTAACCAATTTGAAGGCTCAAACTGAAAGGCTCCTTTGAAAAGTCCATGACAGACCAGGGCCAGGTTACCCCAGGACCATCGTTTGCCATGTGACCCTGACCAAGCCATGAGAGTGGCATGAGAGGGCCTGCCCTCTGTCCCATCTCTGCTGAAAATATGATGGGCAAGTACAAGGGGTTTTTGGGTGCTGGCACTCAAATGATGGAATGGGGAGATAGAATCACCGAAGGTGGAAGAGACCACAAGAGTAATTTCTCCCAAGCCCCTGCAATGCAGGAATCTTTTTGCCCAGTGTGGGGCTCGTACCCATGATCTTGGGAGATTCAACAGGCTCATTCTCCTCCCGTTTTCAGCCAAGTGGAAAACTTAACGCTCTGTTGTTTTAAGTTATCTTTGTTTTAGCCTGCTAACTTTTAGCTTTTACTGATTAGGATTCTTTACAAATGAGACCAGCACTAGCATGGTGCACTGTGGTGTGTTCACTGTTTCGGTCTCTCTGTCATGGTCCGCTCATTCCTCCCCCCTTTACAGTCAGGTGGTACTCCATAGCTGCTGAGCAGACCCTCTCCTCACTGGGTCTAATTTTTGGACTTCTGCAAACTTACTGTTTCCCAAAGCCTGTGGATACTTACCCTTTGTGCATGGATGGTGCTATTTTCACGACATAAGCAACACTGGTGCCAACTTTACGGGGCCCTGGGTGCCTGGGCCTCCACACTGTGGGGCCTTGGAATCAATGCCTGAGGCCCTGTCAGGCTTCCAATGTGACTTTTGGTAGAATCCAGGCCTTGTGAGACCTCTGACATGAGCTCTGAGGCCCCGCAAGGCCTCAGGAGCACTGCTGCGGCACTCTGACATAATGTGACATCATGATGTCATGACGTCACATTACTTTGTGGGTGCCATTGGGCACCCATAATCTGGGGCCCAAGTCAGCCCCCTTGAGAAGCAACAGCATTCTTGTCTGGACGTTGGAATAATGAATATTTTGCAATGATAATAATAATAGCAGCAGCAGCAGCAGTAGCAGCAGAAGAAGGCAATCTCTCCGTCTGAGCCATTGGAATGGGACAGACTATAGATTAAAATAGCAAAGGTCATACGATTGTCTTTCTTTGATGGTGATGTGGGAGGTGATTCAACTGCCATCTTCAAATATCTGAAGAGCTGTCAGATGGAGCAAGTTTGTTTTGAGCTGTTTCGGAGGGCAGGACCTGAACCAATGGATTCAAATTACAAGAAAGACTAAAGAAGAACTTTCCAATGGTCAGAGCTGTTTGACAGTGGAATGGACTCCCTCAGAACAGACTCCTTCACTGGAGGTTTCTGAGCAGATGGCCATCTGTCGGGGAGTCTTTAGCTGTGGGGGGCTGCATTGCAGGAGGTTAGACTAGGTGGCCTTGGGGGTGATTTTTCCAACTCTTCAATTCTATGATTTTATATTGCCACAGTCATTTTCAGCTGCCCTGTTTCTGAAACAGCAACCATACATCTGTTCACCCCCTGCGTTTTCCTTTCAAAGGAATATGAGATGTCTTTTCCAAGTTGCCAAATGCTCCGTTAAAATTCAAAACGCCCATTTCAAAATACAGAATGATGTAATCACTAAATTGCAATCTCCCTCTGCCATACCCTCCCATCTTTTGAAGTGCTGCAATGTTATATATGCCACTAACAGTTATTCCCAGGCGGGTGTAATGTAAAGTGGCACTTTCGCTCTAGTAAGCCAATGTCCCGATGCCACGGCAGTTTGCACGGGTTCCGAGTCACAACATTTCAGTGATAGGGCTAATTGATGCGTTAATTATTTAAATGCGTGGTCGTTCCCATGGCAACATGGGAATGCTTTTCCGAGTCTGCAGGAACAATGGGCTTCCATGTGACTGCTGTGCCGAAGTATCAGAAGCGCGGCCAATTAGGTAGCTGGGATGCCGCAACGTTAATGGCTCACACCTGCTGCCCTGTTTTCCCAGGCTGGTGCACTGCACTCTGATTTGTTGTATTGCTCGGGGCACTGCTTCATCTCTCTGGCTCCCTGGGTGAATTAAAAAATGCAACCTTTGCCAGCACTTACATCCTGGACTACAAAAGCCTTCAGACACCTGGCAACCTGGTTAAGGTTGGAAGCTCATAGAATGGCAGTGAAGTTTCAATGCAGACAGTGGATTTTTTTAAAATGGAAATTGGCTGCACAGAAGCAATGGAAGAGAAAACAGCCAGCTGGATTCCTCCAGCAGGTTCTGTGCATCCCTAGTCACCCTCTACATACATTTGGAGGCGCACAGAAGACTAAATATAGTCAAACTGCCCCCACCCTTATCCAGGGACTTCCAATCTCTGCCCAACTCTCCACCGTTCCACAAATGTCCCTGCGCCCATTTCCCCTCCCTGCTCTTGCAAGTTCCATTGCCCAAAAACTTACTTGACAAATCTGATCTAGGAGACTCAGAGGGTCTCAGAGAGACAATCATGTCTGTGGT